TTAACACACATGGCTAGTTAGATGTCTGTGGGAACAGGAACACCGTCCCATAGCTGAGGGACATTGAGTAGGGTTTATGATGATGACCATATTGACCAAGCACATTCATATGGGCTTTAAGACCAACAAAGTTTAATTCTGGGTATAAGCTTTCATGTGCATGTGCACTTCATCAGATACACTGAAACATTTTCCCTCAAGACTTACATATTGGTGGGAGGGGGATTAGTTGCCAGGAAGGGCTAGATAGAGTCAAGATGCATAAGTAACTGGGTGATAAATATAGCTAAGATTGGATTAAAGCAGTTGTTAAGACCTGTGAATAGCAACAAATTAGCATACTATAAACTATATGTGATGCTTGAGGAAGTCTGTTTTAATGTACGTTTATTAATAAATATCTGTTTGTTAACTCTTCTATTTGTATGATGATTTGCTGCTATTCATAGGTCTTACCAACTGCTTTAATCTTAGCTATATTCAGGGGTCATTTCGTAGAAAAAGAGGTGCAGGAGCTCATTAGTATAACTCATTAGCATAACAGTTGCATATGCCACACCCCCTGACATCACCAGAAGTGTGTCAGAAGGCAACACCCACCGCTCAGGCTCCACTGGACTGTTTTGGATTGCTAGCTATTGGGGGGGACACGTGGAGATCTGTCCTCGCAGAGGAGGGAGAGCTTGTACCTGAATAAAACTTGGTCTTAAAAGTGCCACCGGACTGTTTTGGGCCAGGGGGCTGGGGGGGGGGCTCTGCAGCTTACCTGGCTGCTTCTTGCTCTGACTGAGGGCTGCTGGGAGCAGGAGTTGGGGATTATTGCATGTGCCCGCCCCCTGGGCTCTTTACTGCCGGAGCTTCGCTCCTGTGCGCTCCTGCAGGAAATGACCCCTGGCTATATTTATTGATCAGTTACTTATACATCTTGACTCTTAACTAGCCCTTCCTGGCAACTAAATCTCCCCCCCTCCCCCCAATATGTAAGACTTGAGGAAGTCTCTTTCAGTGTATCTGAAGAAGTGTGCATGCATATGAAAAATTATACCCAGCATTCAACTTTATTGGTCTTAAAGGTGCCACTGAACTCAAACTTTGTTCTGTTGCTTCAGACCAACACAGCTACCTACCTGAATGTTATCAAAAGCAAGCTGTTTATTTGGAGTACCGGAGCTAAGATGGTGTCGTTAGTCTCTGACTGCATGTGCTTCTATTTGGAAGTAGGCAGCCAGTAGCAGAAGCTCTGCTGTGCTGCTGCTTCTTCCTGATTGCTACAGATATGGGATGAGGTTATGGTATAAGCATTTCTCACTCCTGCACTTGCTAATAGATGACATTGTAATAATTTTTTTTAAAAGGTAAGCTTCCACCTGGTATTCTTAGCTTCACAGAATATCTTCCTCTGGTCAGTTGGCACTATTTTAACCTTTAATTGCCCAACCATCCTACCCCCATTTATTTATTAAGATACTTGGTACAAGATCACAAGCAGCCCTAATTGTATTGGTTTTTTTCTTATTTGAGCCTGCCCTGGTACTCTGATTAGTTGCCTATTTAAACTATATCCAACTGGAATTTTCGTAAAAAGTTAAATTAATAACTTAACTAAGTTAATGTCCATCCAAATTTATAATAACCGCATCATCTACAGTGCTCCTAAAATACTTAGCATGTAGTTGTGTTGTTTTTGTTCCACCATCTTTTACTTCTATTAAATACCAGCTATCCGTAGTTCTGTCAGCTGAAGAGCGAGTAGAATTAGATTTTTTTTCTAAATGTGGACTTCACATGATAAGTGAGTGGCAGGTAGGCACTATTGTGAGTCAGCTAACTTGATGGTCAGTGAATTTTCTGCTTGTGCTGTCTACTGCTTCTTTTGTGGGATGGGGATACTACTGCAGAAGTGCATTTCCAGATTCCTGCATATCCCCATTTAAAAAATATATATGCTTTTAATTCTCTTGCCCCATGGTTAAGGAAATAGCTTTAAAAGGTGCTACCAGAATCTTTGATATGCATGCAGAAGCTTCTTGTGGACATAAGAAGAGCCCTGCTGGATCAGATCATGGCCCATCTAGTCCATCATCCTGTCTCACACAGCGGCCAACCCGTTGCCCTGGAGGGCCAAACAAATGGCATAAAGGCCCAGGCCCTCCCCTGCTGCTGTCTCCCAGTAATGGTATTCAGAGTTCTGCTGCCTCTGTAGGTGAAGGCTTGCTTCAGTCACCCGAGAATGCTTCAAATCCTTCCCTCCCTATAACTGTCTCTACTTCCTCTCTGCAGTGCTACTACACACTAGCATTACCTTAGTGGTTTCTTTACACTATTTTTGCAGTTAAAACGAACAAAACCTCTTCTGATATAACAAGATAGGGTATTTCATATATGTTTTATTAGGAAATAACGGGTTGGTCTGCTTATCAAACACTTGCATCACTTGTATAATTATAGTAATTAGGTATGGCCAGTTTGTACAGTCTTGCTTTCCAGGCTGCACACTTGATTTTTTTATCCTATGTTACAGGCCAATTTACATTTATCTTACCCCAGTTATTTCTGAAAGTGCATGGAGACAGTGGGGTGCATTGATTTAAATCATGTTTCAAATTTCTGAATTTATATTTACTGAAAATCAATAGTTACATACGAATTAATTTCTGTAACAAGCTATGGATAAGTTGCCAGTTAAACTTATCTGGTGGAACTTTCTGCCAAATAACATCCGCAACCTGTGGGACTTAATGCAGTTCCACAGGGCTTGTGAAGCAGAGTTGAAAGAACCTAAATATTTGCAATTTTTGCAATAATAAAATGTGACCTCCTGTCTTAAATTGATAGTGTTTGACCTCAGGAGTCACCTGCCCTGTATTTTTTGATACAGAAATGCAGGTTTTAACTCAGTTGCTGAATTCATACATAATGTCAAGCCTTGGTTTGCTGATACATCAGAAGGCCAGATGCATGAATGCTCTTACTGTTTTTCCTCAGTATCAGATGTTCCGTTAGAGACTGAACCCAGAGGTCCCACTTAGCTATCTTACCATAGAGTTTTCCCTCGGATGACTGTGGCCCCGCCCCCAGCGTGCCCCGCGTCGTCACGTCACTTCCGGGTGACATGCACGTCGGGGTGGGGTTCCCCCCGGGGCCCGATCCACCAGCGACGGGGAACGAGCCTCTGGGGTGGGGGTTTCCCCGCCCTCCGGGGGGACTTGGCAGGCCTAGTCTACTTTGTTGAATTTATCTAATCCCCTTTAAAGTTACCTGTCTATACTAAAGCCTGTTACAATGCTTTGATAGCAAATTCCACAGCAATTATTGTGTGAAGTACTTCCTTGTGTCTGCTTAAATGTAGTCAGTATAATTAGTAAAACCCATAATCTGGTATCAAAGATGTGAGAGAAATTCTAACTCCCTCAGCTGCTTTATTTCATACATATTACCCTGATAATATTTGTTTTGAATCTCTCATAGTTCTAATACTAGATAAAGGCTTTCATGGTAGAGGGTGTTGAGGCAAAGTTCAGTACAAATTCAGCCATGATCACCAGAGTTAGTCCTTGAACTTCTGTGTGCCAGAACTTACTCCTGATCTTACCCCAGTCCCAGGGCAAGCACATTGGCAGAACTGTAGATCAGGTAGGTACTGTATCCCACCACTGACAGCCAAAATCTGTCTGTATCTGCTCTTCCCTGCCCCCCCCCCCAGTACGCAAAAACATCTTAAGCAGTTTGAATTTGGCATGCACGCACACAGGCCATCCTGTGCACCCATATATAGACAACCGCTGTCCATGTGTGGAGTCACTGACTGCTCTTGTGGAGAATGGGATGCTAGGGAAGATTAGAGGTGGACAGCCTTCCTTTTATGGCCCTGGACTGCTACCTGAGAGAGAAATGGAGCCCAGATAGGAGTATGGGAGGCAGGTTTTGGGTACCTGGCCTGCTGAATTCCAAACCATCAGCCTGTGCAGTGACTCTGATACAACTTGTTTCGCACATACACACAATTAAAAACACTACTTTAAAATAAATAGAAATACATTTATATGAGAGAGCAGCGTTTCCATGAAATATGAGAGAAAATGAACAGTCAATTAAATAGGGTAAGGGGGATGCCATTCTGCATATTGCAAGGAAGGTTATTCACTTTGTGCTCTTGCACGACTGTATGTTGTCCTTTTTATGCTCTTGATTGCCTGAGCTCTGCACTTAATTTAGTTCTGAAATATGAATATTTTCTCTTGCTTATCATTAAGTGAAAATATGCTGTTGTGCCCAGTATGTATCTACAGCTTGTTTCTGGTTGTGTCTTAACAGCCAAAGATACACAGGCTATGGGTTTAGATTGTTAGGTACTTTTTGTTGGATTTGGGAGTAGTACAGGAGCAGAAGTGAATCAAAGTAAAGGTAAAGGTTCCCTTGCTCGAAAGCCAGTCGAATCCGACTCTAGGGTTGCGGTGCTCATCTCCGTTTCAAAGCCGAAGAGCCAGCGCTGTCAAGACGTTTCCGTGGTCATGTGGCCGGCATGACTAAACACCAAGGCGCACGGAACGCTGTTACCTTCCCACCAAAGTGGTACCTATTTATCTACTTGCAATTTCTTGCTTTCGAACTGCTAGGTTGGCAGGAGCTGGAACTAGAGATGGGAGCTCACTCCATCATGCGGCACCCAGGTCTCGAACTGCTGAACTACTGACCTTCCACAGCCTGCAGTTCAGCGTCTTAACCACTTGAGCCACCGCAGCTCTAGTATTGCACAAAAATATACCCTTCTAGATAGCATAAATATTTTGTTTTCTTATAAATATTTTTTGCTAGCTACGTAAATGAGTAGGTAATTGGTCATGACTATATGAAGTACCAGTGAGACTGCTCTTAATTCTGGGTCTAGTCACCACCTATGATGTAGGTTCAAATAATTCCTTCCACATACAGATTCTGTAAAATACCAACTATTTGGCAGTGGTGATGCTTTCTTTTTTCTTTTTCTTTTTTTTTAAAGCTTGGTTCCACAGCAATTGGAATTCAGACATCAGAAGGGGTTTGCCTGGCTGTGGAGAAGAGGATCACCTCCCCACTTATGGAACCCAGCAGTATTGAGAAAATTGTAGAAATAGATTCTCACATAGGTAAAAATAACAAAAATTTATTCATTCCTGCAGTAAAGCCTATTGGTACTTGCAGCATGTGTGGGAATAAAAACCTTGCTCTGCAGGACATTAATGAGAAATGCATTCTGGAATATGGTCTACAGAACTGTGTGCAGACCATGTTCTGTGGGGAGTTAATATTCATTAGTAATGGTCATTGGTGTTCCAGGCTCTAGGCCAGCAGGACATAGTTGCAGGGGTAGGAAGCGGCAGCTGTAGCTTGCTTCTGTTTGACCTCACTAATGAAAGTTTGTCCCCAAATTTAGAACTTGGAGGGCAGGGAATTGCAATATAAACGCTTGATCCCCAGCCAGTTTCTATCATGGAAGCTTACTGATTGGCCCACTAATGTTAGCCTGTCCTCTGTGCTCAAGACAGTTTCTTGCACATAGGCATGCATACACCCCCAGTGAACACTGCCAATTTAAAGTAGTCTGTCAGATGAAAATTGAAGTTTGCTCCTGAGGATACACTTTTCCTTTTCTTTTTAGCTTTTTCTTTAGGGCAGGTATTTACTTTTTCCACACCTCTTTATTGTAGAAGACACTTGTAAGGATTTTCTGATTTCCTAATCAGCTCTTTAAGCATGTTCCATGGATGTTTTCATGTTTATCTAAGTAATGACCCAAACTGACTTTGTATCTAATTTTGTGGTCATTTAACTTCTCCTCCTTGGCTCTTTAAAACAGATCTTCAACATGCTCACCAGATATAAATGAGAATCTCAGTGTTATACCAGCTGTGGACAAGACTTTGGGAGCTTTTCCATAGTCTGATATGCTGTCTCAATCTTTCTGTCATGTTTCTGGCCATATTAGAACTTTTGCCTGGAGATGGAGTGATGAAGAGGCTAGTTTAGTTGATGCTTTGCTCTGAATGCTTTTAGTTGATGCTTTTCTCTGAAGGGAGGAATAGACCATTGCCCCATTCTATCTTTGGAATGTGTATTGGAGTGAAAGCTGCTTGAGAACTAATTCTTGTTGGTATATCTTCATCTTTATCCAGGTTGTGCAATGAGTGGTTTAATAGCTGATGCAAAGACACTAATCGACAAAGCAAGAGTTGAAACGCAGGTAATAGTTTCCTCTCCTTGCCCTTTTTGCCATCTTTCATGTGCTAGACAAAAATGATAGCAGAATTGAACACACAGCTGTTTGAATAATTTCTCTGAGGCAAGGAAGTCCTCCTCCTTCCATCTTCACTCTCTGCATCCTTTCAACATGGCTGGGAAATTGAAGACTTCCTGGAACTAACTTTGTATTTTTATAGCTCTGACCCGATTATATTTCAAATGCTGTATTTTCTTAGGGAAATGCTGAAGAGTTGCTACATTGCAAATGTTGGAAATGTTACTGTGAAGCAGCCAAATATGCTTTCTGAGAGCTGTCAGATTAATAGATAATTGAATATAAATATTCTAAAACAAGCACACATCTTCCCATAATCTTGCCTTGTAACTTCTGGTCTCAGCTCACTAAATGAGTAAGTCTGAATGATACAGAACCCTTTGGCTGTAACATTCTCCTAAGCAGGTTGTCTGAACTCATTCCTTGGAAGCTTCTAAAGACCAAGCAGTCCTTTTAATGCCATCCTAGCCTTCTGAGCTACTTTTCTGTGTGTAATGTTTGTAATGTTTAAACTTATGAATGGGGACCAATTTAATTGGCTACTGACTATGCAGTAGGGTCATTAAAGGTCAGCCTAACTATGTGAGAGCCACTGAAGGAAAAGCAGTTTCCATGTGGTTAGGATGACATTTTAAAGGGTTGGATAGTCCTGTATGGGGAATAGTGTAGCTATAGAATATTGGTTTAGATGGCTAGGGTAGGTGATACATGTATTTTAGGAGGAATGGTTAACTAATGCTCCTTGGCTTATCCACCTCCTGCCCAGATTCCTTGTGTCCCCATTCTGATAACACATTGGAAGTGCTATGTAAATATCTCCCTGTTTGCTGCTTCCAGTTTGCTGCTCGGAGGGGAGTAAGGGGTAGGAGTTTCACACACAGGCAGGCTGGGGGTGGGGAAATAATGTTCCCAGTCCTAACTGTTAAGATAGGGTGGAGCTGATAGGGTCATGACTGGGAATGATCCCGTTCCGAAGCTGAAGGATTTTGTCATTTCTGTACTTAAATGTAAAGTTTAACAATGCAATCACAGGAATGTCTACTCAGAAGTAAATCCATTGACTTCACTGGGACCTACTCTCAAGGTTACATGGGATTGCTTCCTGTCATCAGAACTTTGCTTTGAATTCCTCGGTGGACTTTATGTTTTGTGGGGGAGCAGACAGAAACCGTAATATGAAAAAGTATACATAAATAAAGCTCTCTCTTTCTTGTCTCAGAATCACTGGTTTACATACAATGAAATCATGACTGTAGAGAGTGTGACACAAGCAGTGTCCAATTTAGCGTTACAGTTTGGAGAAGAAGATGCTGATCCAGGTGCTATGGTGAGTAAATGTTCATGTATGTTGTATGCTGAATGTCTGTTTTGCATTTGCCATAACCAGTCACTAAACTCTTGATCCTTTTTTGATTTTGTTCCAGTCAAGGCCATTTGGTGTGGCACTACTCTTTGGCGGAGTTGATGAAAAGGGACCTCAGCTGTAAGTATGGCTTTTTAGTCTTCGCTCTTGTTCATGTGTGCACTCAGTGGCCTAAAGGACCCACTACTTGGTCAGAATATGAAATAGTCAGGAAATGAGCAGATTGCAATTAATGGCGACACAAGTTGATTCGGAATGATACATCAGTGTCCAGATGTCACAGTTGCTATAAAACAACATGCAAAACTGTTATCTATTATAGAAATGAGCAAAGGTAATATGGTGAAGGCAACACTAGATCCTGCTTTACCTATATGTCATTGCTTAGCGCCTGCACAGCCTTATGCTTCTGATGCCGTATGATGGGATCTTAATTGATAGCGTAGAATGATGGCTTTGACTTTACAGATACCTCTGTAGCTCTGCTGATAGGAGCTACTGTTTGCTCTTTCTCTCTTTTTCTTTCTCCTTTCCCCCCTCCCCCGTGCATACATGCACAGCAGTTTTGCTTGTCTATGTTGTTTCATGCCCTGAGCTGGATCACCCAGGCTAGCCCAATCTTGTCAGATCTCAGAAGCTAAGCAGGGTCACCTTTGGTTATTATTTGGATGGAAGACCACTAAGGAAGTCCAGGGTCGCTACTCAGAGGCAGGCAGTGGCAAAGCACCTCTGAACATCTCTTGGCCTGAAAACCCTTCGGGGTCGCTATAAGTCAGCTGTGACTTGATGGTGCTTTCCACCACCATGTTGTTTCATAGACCTGAGTTTTCAGAACTGCCTGGGTGGCATACTGTTTTACAGAATATGGCACGTGCATAAATCCTAAATGACTGAAGTTCAGAGTGAAAGGGGGAAGAGTGAAACATTCCTCAGCCTTTTTCAAAGGATCAGAAGAGCCACCAGTAACATAATATCTTTAGTCTGCTGTGGCATTCCTTAGGTGGGGTTGGAGGAGCACTTGTAATTAGAGAAGCTCTGTGTGCTTGAAAGATCCAAGTTCTCTTTAAAGGAACAAGCCTTCTCAAATTCATCAAGGGAGACTACTCAGCTTAAAAGCTTTGTGGAAAATTAATCTTTGCTTTATTTCCCATCATATTGAGTATTCCTGGCACTGATATATAAACTGTCTTGATTGCACTTAAAATAAATTGGTAAGTTTCCACCAAGGTGATTGCTTTCAAATTCAAAAAACTGCCCTTATTTGCTTCTGTTGAGCAGTTCATTGCAGTGTATTAGCCTGTAAAAACTTGTACTCTCAAAAACAGGCTGTTCTATAGGTGCTGGTGGTGGTGGAAAGTGCCATCAAGTCACAGCTGGCTTATAGCAGCACTGTAGGATTTTCAAGGCAAGAGACGTTTAGAGGTGGTTTGCCATTGCCTGCTTCTGCATCATGACCCTGGTATTCTGTGGAGGTCTCGCATCCAAATACCAGCTAGGGCTGATCGATGCTTAGCTTCTGAGGTCTGACAAGATAGGGCTTGCCTGGGCTATCCAGGTCAGGTTCTATAGGTGCTACCAGTGCTTTTAAAAGATAACCCAGCTGTATGCTAACAGTGACAGGTCTCAAGATGCCATTTTGGTGTGTGAATTTAACCAGTGGATATATTTGACTGTTGTCCTTTTTAGGTCACAACCTGAGCTCTGACATTTTCTAAACACATAGGCTTGGATCAGTAGCTTGCAGAAGCCAAAGGGCTCCGTACGTGAATGCAAAGCACTTCTATACAAATTAATTGATTTCTCCCCCTCCCTCCCAAGTTCCAGAATATCATACTATCCCTAAAGCTACCCTGGACCCCTAGGGTGCATTTAAGGGGATGTGAAAGGACTACAGTAGATTGAGGGAGTGGGAGAGTTTTGATGCACACTGTGCAGTTCTTTGGATCAAAAGCATCTAACAGATCTGTATTAAACTCTGTTGGCCTTATAGTTGTTTCAAATGTAATACTGAGTGCCACGCAGTATGTGTTTTTTTGTCTGCCATGTGCACACTACTCCTACCACAAGAGGTCAGGTTTGCAGCCCCTGTCTTAATCCTATACTGAGCTCTTGCTTCTCCTGTCTTCTAGCTGCAAGTCAGAGTATTGCATTAATAGTAGTGCGTTACTAAAGAAATGTATTCTGGACCCAAGGGATTTGAATAACTATCGCCCAGTCTCATAATGTACCATTGTTGAGCAAGGTGATTGAATGAATGGTGGATGGACATCTGCAAGGATGCCTGGAAGAAGTTTGAATCCTTTCTGGTTTCAGGCCTGGTTATGGGTCTGAAACAGTCTAGATCACCCTAGCAGATGACCTGCACCAGGAGATGGAAAGAAGGAATGCAAGCCCTATTGATTCTCTGGGATCTCTTTTAATACCGTTGATGATATCTTTCTGAACTGCCTTCCCAGGCTGGGACTGTGAGGCACTGTTTTGTAGAGGATAAGTCTATCAGTGGCTATTAGTCATGGTGACTGAGGGAAACCTCCACATTCGGAGGCACTAATCCTCTGAATCCCAGAGCCAGGAAGCAACATCAGGGGATGGCCTCGGCCTTTATGCCCTTTTATTGGCCATGCAGAGGAACTGGTTGGGCACTGTGTGAGACAGGATGCTGGACTAGATGGACCATTGTGGGCTGATCTGGCAGGGCTCTTATGTCCTTATGTAGTGGTTTAGGTCCTGCCTGGAAGGTAGGTTTCAGAAGGTGGTGCTGGAGGGTTACTGCTTTGACCCTTGGTTTCTGGCTGTTGCAAGGTTCTGTCTTGTCCCCTTTGTGTTTCAACATCTGCATGAAGCTGCTGGGTTAGGGCATCTTGAGATTTGTTCTGAATTGTCACTCAGTAGGCAGGTGACACTGAGCTCCGTCTTGCATTTCCAACAGATCCCAATAAGGCTATGGAAACCTTGAATCAGTGCCTAGGGGCAGTTTTGGGGTGGAAGAGGACTAATAAGCTTACTCCCAACAAGACAGAGGTGCTACTGATGAGGTTAAGGACTGACTGGGTATTGAGGTGTCTCCTGTTACAGATGAGGTTGCACTCCCCCTAAAGAGCACATTTGCAGCTTTAGAATATCTGCTGGACCCAGGCCGCCTGTTGGATAAGCAGGTTGCAGTGGTGGCCAGGAGTACCTTTCACCAGCTTTGCCTCGCAGGGGAGGGTGGGATATAATTAAAAAATAATAAACCGGCTTCAGCCTTTCTTGGGTAAAAAAGATCTTGCTGCTGTAGTGAATGCCCTGAATAGATATAGACTAGTTTACTGTAATTTGGTGTCTGTAGGGCTACTGTTGAAGAGCATCTGGAACCTACAATTGGTATGCTATGGCAAGAATGTTGACTAGTGTGGATCATAGGGACCCTGTCACTCCAGTCTTGTTCCCTTTATGCTGGCTTTCAGTTTGCTTCTGGGCTCAATTAAAGATGATGTTACAGACCTTTAAAGCTGTAAATGGCTTGTAAACAACATACCTTAAGGACTCCCTACTCTCATATAAACCTAACTGACCATTACAGTAATCTTCAGGGCTTGTGTTTCAGGTGACCCATCATCTGAGGTGACAAAAGGCCTTCTCAATTATGCCATCAAAGTTATGGAATTCCTTCCCCAGGGATTCTGGAGAGTCTGCCCAGACTTTCAGACTGTATTCGTCTGCTTTTCAGTATTGTTTTCTTCTTCCAGTGGGTGAAGACCTTTTTATTTCATTTGGCATTAACCCTTCTTCCTGCTTATGTTCTTCCGGTTTATGTTTTTAAAAGTATTTCACATTGAGGGTCCACGTTGGGTGGAAAGATGGTATAACAGTGTTTTAAATCTATATAGAACTTCTGGAGATGTACCTGGCCATAAAATGCTTCTTAAGGATTTCCTTCTGGGTTTTTTGTGTAGGTTTCACATGGACCCTTCTGGGACATTTGTACAGTGTGATGCAAGAGCAATTGGATCAGCTTCAGAAGGCGCACAAAGCTCCCTGCAGGAAGTTTATCACAAGGTAATAGTGTGAGGTCTGAATAATATGTTTAGGGAGTTCCGGTTTTGGCATTCGCCATGGCAGCCGCTTTCTCCCAATCTCCGGGATATGACTGCCAGAGCCCGTAGTGAGGAGGGGGCACGATTGTCCGTGCCACCCCCGGAGCCTCCACATGAGGCTCCCAGCCATGGGGCACTAGAAGGCTCTTTCTCCGGTGACCCTGCTGGTGAAGGGGGGCTTTCTCTATGCCCTGAAGGTCCCGCCACGGAGCGTCCTGAATGGGAATCAGAAATCGCATACTGGAGCAAGCGCTTGGTGGCCGAGAGATTTGAAAATGAAAGGGGATCTATCATTGAAACGTGAGTTGGAGTCTAAGCGAGAAACACTGAAGATCTAGTCGAAAACCTACCCTTTGAAACCGAGGGGGGAGGGAACTCTCCCCTGCTAAGAAAAGTTAAGCGAACTTTGTGCGATCACGAAAAGGGGGATGGACTAGTGAAGCAAGACAGACTGAAATAAAAAGCATTTAAGAGCTTACCAAGCTGTTTGAGTATCAGAGACTGTGATAACTTTTACAAAAAGTAAATAATCCCCAAACATGGCGCCCATGAGGAAGGATGAGAAAGACAAACAAGTGAAACCTAAGCTTCTTGCTGGAACTGCTGGTCCAGCGAGTCCTGTCCCTAGACAGGACACAACTACAGAGCTGCAAAAGATGCTGACGGAAGCATTGCGACCTCTGCTAGAACGAGTCATGGCATTGCATAGCAAATTCGATGCACAGCAAATGCAATTAACTGAAATAGCCAAAAAAATAGATAAAACTGAACAAGAAGTAAAAGAAGTGGATGCCAACACTAAAAAACTTAAAAAACAACTGCAGGCGATGGAAAAAAAGAGATTGATGGAGGAGTCTCAACTGTTACAGCTACAAATGGAGAGAGCAAGCTATGTCTTAAGATTTCAAGGTGTTCCAGAAGAAAAGACTAAGAATCTGAAACAGACTATGTGTGATGTACTAGGCCCTATGGCAGATATAAAAATGGATACATTACAAAGTGAAATAGATACGATCTATAGGTTGTATTCTGAATTTACAAGAAAAAATAATCTGCCTGGGGAAGTTATCATAAGATTCTCCAGAAGACAAGTGAGAGATCAAATTCTCAAAGCGATAAATGGATCTACCTTGAAAATCAAAGACAAAGAAATAAAAGTGTTAAAGGGCATCCCATTTGAAATTAAAAAAGAGAAGGAAATATAGAGACTTGGTGATATTTTTACAAAAGAACAACATCCCCTACAGATGGATTGTTCCTGAAGGCACAATCTTCAAATGTAAAGACAAGAAAGAAAAAATTGACTCTGTTGAAAAGGCACGTGAATTTTTGCACCAACACAGTCGTCCATCAGGAGAAGTTGAGAATGAGGACAGCACCAAAGAAACCGAAGTAGAAGGAGCAGCGGCATCTTCAGATGAGAACTCAGATTCCAAATTAGGGGCAGTTGCCCCGAAAGCAAGCTATTAGTTGAGGGGCAAAAAGTATAAAAAATGAGATGTTATGACACTCTGAAAGCTCTTACAATGTATGGTTATAATTATTTCTTAGGTTGCTTTTTAAGAAGTCAGAAGTGGTGTTTAAAGTCATTTTTCAGTATAAACTGACTATTAGATGACCACATTCAATGAACTTGAATCGAACTTTGAGCTAAAAGTTAATTTGTTAAGCAGTATGTATGACCACCATCTCTTGGGTTTTTAGTGGGTTTTCTTTTCTTTCTCCCATAGTATGTAGTTCCCCTTCCTAATTTCATTGTAGTTTATAGAAAACGCAAATTAAAAAATGAATAATATGTTTAGGCTAACTTGTTCATCCCATAAAACAATGCTGTTCCTTGGTGGGATTCAACGAAGTCAGCTGTTAGTTAATACCATCGAGTTGCTCTACCACCGGCTTTAACATATCCGCTAGCAGCTTCATGACGTCAGTTCCTTCCTCTGGCCTCGGGCTTTGACTCCCGGTTTCGCTTTTAACTTTCCTCGTGTCGCCAGCATTTTTCCAATTTGTTTACAAATTCAAACCGTTATACAAAGGCTCGAAGGGCTTGTCATTTTTGCAGCAGGCTCTCAGATAAGTCTCTCAAAACAAATCGCTGTTTGCTTCCCCCCTTTCCCCCCTCGCTTCGCTTGATTCTTTATGCGCATAGGAGGCATCCCTCCTTGCTCTCCGCTTTCCCAGGGGGGGGGGGATTTGCTTATCAATCAGTCCACTCAAACAGAACTCACGTTCATTGTCAGTCTTCAATCAGACCTCGCTCCCAATCATCGTTATTCCGCTGGATCTCTTGCGCTTGCCCCAGTCGAACTAGCTTGTGCTCGAAGGCCACACAGCAACCGGACCGTCAGGGCGGAGGGAAGCCTCTATTCTCCGGCAAATAGCTATCAGAGGCTAACCCTCAAAAGCCCTCCATGTTGCTGGTGTGCTAATCGCTCCTCCGCAGGTCGGAGAGAGCGACCGCCATCGCTAATCCACTTCCGGCTTCCCAATCCAATCTCTTCTTCTTCTTCATTTATTTAAGTTACCCAGTTTGCTTTATGCCTGAGTTTTTTATTGATGTAGAACTTCTCTAAAACAACACTTACTGTGAGGCAATCTACTTTTTAGCATGGTTAAATAACATCTGTGTGCATAAGAACTGATTTTAAAGCCATAGTACTTATCTGCTTTGTAGATGTCTTTCTGTTATAACCAACCATCTACAATTAGAAATCCTACTGATAAGATGTGAAAGCATTGGTTTATGTTGTTTACCTTCATATCAGTCCCCCCCCCCACCACCACCATATGGGCAAAGATTTTTAATGCTACCTGGATGGAGGAATAATTTATTACATTAATTCAGTCTTAACCATATGAGCAGTGACCCTGTTTAGCTGTTTGTGTGCAGTACCTTATATAGAATGGTCAGCTGTTCATATGCCACTGCATCACTTTACCAATTGTGATTGTGTGGAAATATACTTAATGCATCTGTCATCATGTATACATCAGCCCTTAGCATCTAATTTTTATGATTTTTTTAAAACAGTCAATGACACTGAAAGAAGCAATCAAGTCATCACTTATCATTCTAAAGCAAGTTATGGAAGAAAAACTGAATGCAACTAACATTGAGGTATGTATTTCACTCTCTTGATATAAGCAAAAGCGTTCTGCCAATGTCTGGGACACTTAATGGGAGCGATATGGCCGTCCTAGAAATTATTTACAGATCTTGGAAGGTATTCAGAACTTTGGTGGCAAATAGAAGGCATTTGGGATTTTAGACAGCCCTTTCACATCATTTGAAATTACTCCTGACAACAAGCAGGGTTGCTGTATACTGTACATTAAAGATAATGTCCCAGGTCCTTCATTTTCCATGTAGGCTCTTAAAGTGGCACACAGCTAATGGAACGCAAACCTAACATTAAGGAGTTGATTGATGACCATCAGGAACAAGAGTTTCATTGGATGCATGCCTGAGATCTGTGCATCATGTGCTTGCATCATGAATACCTTGTCTGGACTGTTGTTTTTATGTCCTAAATTTTTACTGGTGAGGTATAATTGTGTGCCTGGGTTAAAGATTAAGAACCAGAGTTCTTAAAGTTAATAACCAGAGTGAGGCAGTGGTTACGAACAAAAGTGAGGGAATGTTAAGGTGGCTTAATTTGTTTGCTTGTATTTTATTCCACCCTTCCTCCAAAGCACTCAGGGCAGTGTACGCATGTACTCCTCCCCTCATTGTATTCTTTAACCCTATAAGGTAGGCTAGGCTGAGATTTGACATTGGAATGTCTCTTTATAATGGTGTTTTATTATGGATGGCATACTGTAGGCACAGTGTGAGGATCTTGTACCTATTCCTGATGCTTTGATAGTATTCTTGAGATGTTCCCTGGTCTTGAAGTAAGAGTTCAGCATCTTCTTGCTGAACAGCCCTAAATTTACTCCCAACCTTGTTGTTCGTTGAGAGACTCCTTGTAATTTGTCACTGCTTGGACGTCTCTCAAATTGATACATAATAGGACATGGAGAATGCAACACATTCAATGAATGCCCTTTTTAAAGACAGCATTCTTTCCCTTGCTCTGGGCTCCATGAAACACATCGTACTGTATACTTGTATCACAGACCAACTACTGGAGTTCCAAAATCTTTGAGCTTACAGCAAGGCTATCTAGCAAAAACCTAATTCCTCATATGTAACATGTCTGCTTGTTACTGTGGTAACTATTTAAAAGGGTGTTTCCCTTGTCCAAGGGTACTTCCCTGGTTTATGACATTGCTGTCAGGACTTTCTGTTATTTCTACAGCATTGATTTCAAACGCTCTGTATCCAGGGAAAAAAATCAGCATATAGTAGGAAAAATACTCTACCGCTCACAGGGTCATTAAGGGCATTAAAGGTTAAAACCAGCACTGTGAATCATGCTCAGAAACAAGCTGGCTTCCAGTGTAGCTGTTCTAGCATTAGCATATTTTCCCAGGAGCTCATATCTGCAGTAAGCCTTAATTCTGAACTCAAGTTTCCGTACAGTCTGTGTAGAGTATATTATAGTAGACTAGCCTAGAGGTTACCAAAACTTGTTTCACAGTGGCAAGGTCAGCGGTTTCTAGAAGCAGTTATAGTTGCAAGTGATCCTAAGTCAATAAAAGGTACTTCTGGCCTGATGCACTTGGATGGATCCAGTGATCCATCAGCACAAGATCAAAGTTTGAGTCCAGTGGCACCTTTAAGACCAACCAAGTTTTATTCAAGGTATAAGCTTTTGTTGTTACGTCAAATGCTATGTAGGCTTGTCTCCTATTTGAGTTGTGGGAATTAGCGAAGAAGATAAAGGCTTGTGAGAGGGGAGTAGCAAGCAAGATGGGTTACCAATGTCTACAGGGATCTTTCTCTTCGAGAACTCTCAGAAATAACCAGTCCATTGCTGTAACCAAAAAGGTTGTTTTATTGAAAGAGGAAAATGGTATCAAAAATGACACACATACAGAAGATAAATGCACACTGGAAACAAACACACAAGCTAGCAGAAATTTCGGGGAGAGAGGGAATATAACAGTGGGTTCAAGGGGTAATAGCTACCTGTCCTGAAGACCAGGGATCCGTGGAGCACAGGCTGTGGAAGATGGAAGGAACCCAGACGTATTTGGGGTGTGATGCAGGGTGGTTACCCAGCACACGCAAAGCAGTGCTGCCAAGGCACAGTCTAGTTATAGCAAAAATGGGACCTGAGGGCATGCTAAAGTGACTGCCCCTTGGAACAAAGCATTGGTGAGTTTAACTAAAAGTACAACAACGTGTTGGGGAAATTATGAATGGGGTTCCCAGGAACTGACAAAGTGAACAGGAGATATCTTGGGAGGAGTTCTTGATGTAAAAATAAAGCTTAAATTGAAACTGATAGCTTCTTCTGGTGATTTGGAGTGTTAATGCCTGTCTAATTAAACTTAATCAAAAAGAAAAAAATACTGTTTGATGACTCTCCTTTTGTGTTATGTAGGAAAGTGTTAGGGGCAGGGGTCTTTTCGTAGAAAAAGAGCTGCAGGAGCTCATTAGCATATGATATGCTAATGAGCTACTGGGCTATTACCATATGCCACGCCCCCTGACATCACCGGAAGTGATGGCAAAAGGGGGGGGAGGCGTCTTTAAAAGCTTTCCCTCCCCTTCCCTTGGGGGGGGGGGAGCGAAGAGAGAAGGGGTTTAAACTTTAAACCCCTTCTCACTAGAGTTGGGCTACAGGAGGAAAGAGAGAGAGTAGAGAGAAGGAAAGAAGGAAGGAAAGAGGGAAAGAAACAGAAGGAAAGGAGGGAACGAAAGAGAAGGGAAGAAGGAGGGAAACGGAATGGAGGAAAAAAGAGAAGAAGGAGGGAAACCAGGAGATTACTGGATGATCTAGATTAAGGAGGAAGGGAGGTCACTGATACCAAGCGGGCTAGATGGGCCCCAGAATAACAGCTTAATTTTCTCCTTAAAAAGGGGAGGGGTGTCGATCAGAAACCTGAGGAACTGGCACATGCTTTGCTATGGGAGCGCCAACGTGCATCCGAATCCCAGATTGGCTGAGCCTCGGAGGGCGCCATTCGGCTGCTCTGCACATACTGGGGGGGGGAGGCAGCCCCGCCCAGCGCGCTCTGCACATGGACAGAGCCACTCTCGTATCGGGGCTCCCGGGGGCAGGCAGCGTGCCGCGTGTGCTACCCTTACCGAAGAGGCTGTTGCTGAAGCCGTCCCACACGCAGCCGGCGTCGTCCCAGACCCAGCGGCTGTGGAGGCAGGAGAAGGTGAAGCTGACGCCGAAGAGTGAGACGAGTAGGTCGCTGAGGCTGATGTTGACCAGGAAGAGGTTGGTGGGCGAGCGGAGCCGCTTGAACTTGGCGTAGAGCACCAGCACCAGCAGGTTGTTGCACAAGCCCAGCAGGCCGATGGTGGCGGTCAGCAGGGCCAGCAGCTTGTAGGTGCTGGCGCTGAAGGGCGGCCCCACGTCTTCGGCCGCCTGCCGCTGCTCGGCGTCCCGTTTCCCCGGCTTCAGGCTGCCGCCGCTGCCAGTCCTGTCGCCCTTGCCGCTGCTGTTCCCCGAGTACATGGCTCGGCGTGGCTCCGGCGTGCGGGCTGTGGGAGAGCGCCCAGCAGCAACCCAGGTCCAGGCGCCCGAGCCCATTGCCCAGCCCGCGCGGCGGCTCTTGATGCCAAAGGCAGCCCTGCTAGAAAGCTAGCGGACTCCCTCGCGAGTAAGCACTCCCCAGTCGGTGTGCCAAAGGCCACTCTACCACGGGGCCTCTCCAAAGCCCACACGTGCGCGCCCGGCCCCCTCAGCCGCGCTCGGCCTCGGTGTGGAGCCCTCCGGAGGTACAGGCCAGGGAGGGTGAGGCCCGGGACCCACGCAGGAGGCCGGCCCGGCTCGTCGCCACACAGCAGCCACAGCGAGCAGGTGAAGGGACGGGGGCCAGGGTGGCAGGCAAGAGAGGCGCACCTCGGCACAGCTGCACTTGGACGGGCCGGAGAGCTAAAGCAGCCACGGCTGGACGGAGAGCACAGGCCAGCAGCATCCTGGCGGTGATGGAGGACAAGCGGGGTGGACGCACGTGGGGCAGGAGGAGACGGTGCAGGACCCAGAGATGGAAGGACTGGCAGAAAACAGCGCCGGAAGAGAAGGGGAGCCCTCCGCAGTGCTCCTACGCGGGCTTGTGGACCCGGAGACGGGGCTTGCCACCACACGGGCCGCCGGAGCGGTGCTCCGGAGGGCTCCGGCCCAAAAAGACCCCTGGTTAGGGGTAGCTTTTGTGAAGTAAATGTGGAAATAGGGAAGGTGAGGCGGGGTTGAAAGGATTAACATTAGCTCTGGGGTGAGACAAGTCCATTGTTTTAGCATGTGCAAACCTGTAGAGGGTGGCAGCATGGTCAGACCTTGATGTCATACCTATCAGGGTCTCTGCCTAGACATGTCTTGTGGGGCCTGCAGCCTGGCTTCCTTCTTGTATAATTTTGGTCAAATTATCTGGCATATGAACTCCTGGGGTGCTATTAAATGAAAGGTGCTGGCTTCCAGCTTACACCTCAGCAAAAGGGCATGGTCTGTCTGCTTACATTGTGTGCAAGCACACTTATTCAGATACCTTATGCACAAAAGCTTTGTTCTGCTGCTTCAGACCAACACGGCTACCCACCTGGATCCATCAGCACAAGGTATTGACTGTTGCAGATGTTCCCTGCTTTCCCCTCCCCTGCAAACATTTCCACCCTTGGGAAAGTTTTTCTGGGGCTGAGATTTGGGGGCTGCAGGGAGGAGGGTGAAGGAGGCAAAATCGCCTTTCTGCTAATGGCAGCGTGAGCAGTTTCTTTTTCTTCTCACTGTAGCCCGTTTACCTACATGGTGCTTTCTCCAAGCAGCTCCAGTGACCATGGGAATCAGTTTTCCCAAGGTTGAAAGTGACTTGGGGGGGGGGATCGGGAGGATCTGTGGTCCTTCTGCAAGTTGATCACTGGATCCAACCCCCAGTCTGGAAAGCGCTGGGTCCAGCAGCATGTACAAACATCTTTTAGGTGCAGCATAACCCATCCAGAACAAGGAAACTGCCAGTTCCTGGGTCAGCTAGGTCTACCATTAATGCTTTTGTACTGTCTGGGTTTAAATTCAGTATTTTCAGCTGACATCCAGTGCATCACTGTCTCTAGACTAAGAAGAGATTTTCATAAGGTAGCCATGTTGGTCTGCATTTGACGCTTGAAAGCTTTATACCCCAAATAGTTTGTTTGTTTCTAAGGTGCTACTGGACTTGAATCTAGCTGTTTTAGACTAAGAACTTGCAAGTATCACCTGGTTCCATGGAAAATAAATTGAGTGTCATTAGCACACTGGTTGCATCTTATCACAAATCAGAATAAGCACTTGCTTTATGTTAATCTAAACCTTCTATAACACGTAGACTCTGTCCTGACCTGCATAGCTGAGGCTAGCCTGATCTCACCAGAACTTGGACACTAATCAGGGTCAGCTGTGATTAGTACTTGACTGGGCAACCACCAAAGATGTCTAGGGTTGCTAGGCAGAGGGAGGCAATGACACACCACCTCTACATCTCTTGTCTTTAAAACCTTATGGGGTTGCCATAAGACGGCTGAGTGTTGATAGCACACGCAAAGGCTCTCCTAGCAAGGTTTCTTTGTTCTGGTTCTGCTGTAGAGCTTGTTAAAAGTAATTTCAGAGACAGCTATTTCAGGGACCATTCCCATTAGCGGCATTTGCTCCAAGTGTAGCGATTTGTCTTCTCTTGTCTGAACTGTTACTTCATTATGTATATAGGCATGTATAACCCTTTCTTCCTGTCCTTGCAGCTTGCAACAGTGGAGCCTGGGATGAAGTTCCATATGTACACGAAAGAGGAACTTGAAGATGTTATCAAGGATATTTGATGAGGGGGAGAACCTCTCCAACTGCCTCATTCCCTGATCACAGCAAACTGACTCTTCAGTTTTTTCCAGGGCCCATAACTTTATTTCAGCAGCACGTATGCCTGCTCTTAAACAATGGCTCAAAAGGTTTTTTTTACAGTTTCTGTACATAAAAAAGATCTTCAGTAAGAGGAAACTAGAATAAATCATTTTGTTACTCTTATCTCAATTTCTTCTATAATAAAGCTTGGGGGTTGGGTGAAATGGTTTGGTTTGATGCTGAGTTAAACTGTGTGTATTTTATGCAGCCAGCTTCTCCCCATTCATTGCGCTTCCTTCCCTAGTATCTGGCTTACTCTGGAGTGCTACTGCACTGCCGCTGCAACCCTGACTGGCTCCTTTTTGAGCACCATTTTTGTTTCAAACTGGCCCCTTTTCTAGCAACAGTGACCAGGAGGAAGTCAGACTTGAAACAAAAAATGTGCTGAGGCAGCAGGCTTTCAGTGCAGCAAATAGCAATGAATCAGTGCAAAACAGGTAAGCTTTTAGGGTACAGCTTTGGGGGCCCAGTCCCACTTATTTCAAGCTAAAATATTTCCTTTCCCTCAAATTCAGTCTGGCACTAAAGTAAAACATCAAAAATGAGTAAGAATATATATTGTACCTAACAGTTAAAACTGCTGTGGAGTATTGCATTGATATCCAGTTATAGCTGGGGTCTTTCTAATCTAATGTTACTGCTGTGCCGAGCGTTCTCTCCCTTTTCTGGGCAGCATTGTTTGTAACTGAACTCCCAGACATGTCATGGCCTCCCCAAGCCACCTCTGGAGTTCCTTTTCTAGCCAGTCAGATGGCACAGCTCCCTCATGTGGACCATGCGACCTGAACAAGGCAACAAATGATTTTGACACTGAAGTCAGCTCCCTCTGCACCCTGCTGAAATAATGTGTACATTAAAAGTTCTTTCATAGGCAGGGTAACATATATTTACAACTGTTTATATTTTGTTTTTTCTTCTGTATTCTTGTTGAAAAGTATATACTAAATATATCACCTCGACCAGCCACAGTACATCACAAACAGGAAGTGAACCTCTAGCTTGGTGGCCTGCTGATTTCATCTTTGTATCTTAAATTTTTGGGTAACAAACTTACCCTCTTTAATTTGATATTCTGGCTAGCTGGCATTTGTTAGCATTGTTTTCAGTTTAGAACAGAGGGCATTTGCCAGTTAAGGTGCATAAAGGTAAGGACACTTCTGCTGGTGTCAGCAGATTGAAGATGAGATTACCAGCCATTTAAAGGATCCACATCCGAAATTGTTTCTCAAAGTGTTATGAAAAGGAATAAATCTATTTTAAAATGAGCTTGGGAATCTTTTAAACTAGTTTGTTACTAGATTTTCTGGTCCTCTTAAGACCTAAAGAAGGGGTATTGTTTAGGGGCCATTTGTGCAAAGAATCAAGGAATAGTTTTATTGGAAAGCTTGGTAGATGCTTGCTGTTGGTGTGTTTTTTGTGTCAAAGGCACACCAAAGCAGAGAATATTGTCTGAGTGTGCCCCAATAGGCTGTGCTTTGGATAAGCAGAAGTTACCGGGCTTAATGAACATTAAGTAAAAAGTCTAGATAATAGCTAACAGATGGTTAGCCTGGTTTGGTACAAGAGGCACTGTAGGGCTTTTGAGTGGATGATATGAGTATACATGGAGACTATACATTTTATTTGGAAGAAAGATGTGAAGGATGTAAGTGTAAGAAAATAACAGATAAAATACGTTCTGCAATGAGAATGGTGTGTTTAGAGCCAAAGGTAAGTGACATGAGTCCTTTCAGGATATAGAATGATTCCTTTTTTTTTTTAAATCTAGCTGTTGCTTAGCTTGTGCAAAAAAATAAAACCTTCCCTAACACTTGAAAGACAAAGGCTTTTTATGTTCTTTCTTACGGCATAATAGCTGGTACCAGTCACCATGTGATCCTGTACAATTTCTCATCAGACACCACAACTGTTCTAACAGCTGATCTAACGGCTTGAGACCAGAAGCAAATAGTTTTGAGCTGCTGCAGGTCATCCAGCAAGTTTATTCTTTGAAAACATTCTTGGCCCAGAGAGACTTTAAATTAAAAAAACAAAAATGTGTCATAGCAGTGGAGCAGGTATTTAAGACTCTTATTTCTATACTCCCCAGCATTTAATCTAAAACTCTTTACAAGTACAGTAAAACTAAAAAATTAAAAGTTGTACCATAAAACTAGGATATTTATAATACTAGAGCACGTCATACCAATAAAACTACTCAATCATTAAAGAATTGGGTCACAATCATAAACCCATCAACCAATAGAATAACAGCAGAAAAACCTAAAAACCATCCAGTCACTGAGTCCCCAAATGTCTGGGTAACTTAAGTTGTTTTGGCCTGGCATTGAAAAATGAAGAAGTCAGATGAAGTGTTGGAGATGGAATTCCATAAGCAGCAACAGAGAAGGCTTCTGTCTCCTCCACTTACTTCTCTGCTTGTCTAGGTGCCCCAATGCCATTTTAAGGGTATGTGCAACTAAACACCTTGAGTGAGATATATATAAAAACTGTAGTGGCCTTGACTGATGCACTGTAATTGAACCAAATATATTTGTATGTGTCAAGTAGAACAACAGCAATGCCAACTGAAGGCTGATAGTCTTAGCGTACTAATCAGAAAAAAACAAGTAGGGAACCTACAATGACCTGTGGGAAGGGATCACTTCATTTCCCCCTGTATTCTCATCCCCCCCCACTATTTCATCTTTCTCCTGTCACTCCCATCCTCTTCCCTTCTTTCCATTAACACCAACCGAGCAATTTTATCTGCCCCCACTCTTTAGCTTTTTTTAAAAAATCACACTATTCATATCCCACCTTTCTCCCCAGTGGGGACCCCAAGGAGACTGCATCATTATCTTCCATTTTATATTCACAGCAGCACTGTGGGGTAGATTAGGCTGAGAGAGAGCAACTGGCCCATGGTCACTCAGGAACAGGGTTGCCAGCTCTGGGTTGGGAAATATAGTACCTGGAGATTTTGGAGGTGGAGCCTGAGGAGGGTGGGATTTGGGGCATAATGCCATAGAGTCCAACTTCCAAAGTGGCCATTTTCTGCAGGTGAACTGATTTCTCACCTGGAGATCAGTAGTAATAGGAAATCTCCAGCCATCAACTGGAGATTGGCAACTACTCTGGAAGCTTCCAAGGCAGAGTGTGGGAAACTGGGTCTTCTAGCTCCTACCCCGGCACTAATCACTATACCACACTGTCTCAGCTGTCCCGTTCCCCTTCCCCAACAGCCTTGCCCTGGGAAAAGTCTGGTGCAATTGCAAAAATTGTGTGGTTGCAAGTCGCTAGGAGGAGTTGTGTGGTGGCCACTGTCAGGCCCAGCCAAGTCATACAGTTGTGTGGACGCTGCCACTGAATCTTGTCAAGTTGCGTGGCATCAAGTCGTGGTCACTGCTGTACCTCGCTGAGTGGCACAAGCTGTATGGAATCAAGTTGCCTGGGAGTTGCTCCTGGGGCTGGCCCTGATGAGCAATGCTCCCTCTAAACTGTGGAGTCTTGTGAGCGAAAATTCTACTTTGTGAGCTACTGGCATTGAAGTTCTGAGCGAGTAATTTGGCTACTGCATAAATTAGTTTGCTCTGGAGCCATCCTTCCTGAGCTAAGACAAAAATCTGAGCTGGAGGCTAAAAAATTGTGAGCTAGTTCACAGTAACTCAGCTTAGAGAGAACACTGCTGATGAGTCCTTCCTCCAGGATGGGGGGGGGGGAGAGAGAGCAGAGGTAGACTGGGAAGAGCCCTGCTCCCCCCTCCCAGTATTTCACTGACAGAAATCAAGGTTTAAAGGCTAGCAACCCACACATCATCCACTGAGATCTCAGAGGGCACCCATTTCTTAATAGAACAGTGCTGCTATTATTTCGAAGGTTTTTTTAACCCCCCCCTCCATGCATTTATTTACCTCATTCCCACCCACACTCCTGCAAATCTGGGTCTTAGCTTTGTCAAAGTTCTGTCTTGCCTGTTCATGGCTCCAGTTTCTGGATTTAAGTATCCATAGATGGGGTCACACTGAGGCCAAAAATACCAGGTGCCATCAGGAGGTCCAGCAGTGGGGCCAGGACACTAGAAGACCTCCCACTGTTACTCCCCCACAAGCACCAAGAATACAGAGCGTGACTTGCCCCAGACTGAGAGTTCCTGTCTATAACTTGTGGCTGATGGACTTCTGCTCCATATGATTATCTAATTCCCTCTTGAAGCTGTCCATGCTTGTAGCCGCCGCCACCTCCTGTGGCAGTTAATTCCATATGTTGATCAATCTTTGGGTGAAGAAGTATTTCCTTTTATTTGTTCTAACCCGACTGCTCAGCAATTTCATTGAGTGCCCACGAGTTCTTGTATTGTAAGAAAGGGAGAAAAGTACTTCTTTCTCGACCTGCTCTATCCCATGCATAATCTTATAAACCTCGATCATGTCACCCCTCAGCCGTCATTTCTCTAAGCTAAAGAGCCCCAAGCATTTTAACCTTTCTTCATAGGGAAAGTGTTCCAACCCTTTTATTTTTCTGCACTTTTTCCAATGCTATAATATCCTTTTTGAGGTGTGGTGACCAGAACTGTACACAGTACTCCAAATGAAGTCGCACCATCAATTTATACAGGGGCATTATGATAGTGGCTGATCTGTTTTCAATTCCCTTCCTAATAATCCCCAGCATAATGCTGGCCTTTTTATTGCAGTCACACACTGTCTCAACATTTTCAGTGAGTTATCCACTACAACTCCAAGATCTTTCTCTTGGTCAGTCTCTGCCAGTTCAGACCCCATCAACATGTATTTATAGTAAGGATTTTTGGCTTCTCTGTTTCCTATTAATTAGCCAGTTTTTGATCCACAAGAGGACTTCTCCTTTTATCCCGTGACTATTGAGCTTACTTAGGAGCTTTTGATGAGGAACTTTATCAAAAGCTTTCTGGAAGTCAAGGTAAACAACATCTATTGGGTCCCCCTTATCCACATGCTTGTTCACTCCCTCAAAAAACACTAACAGGTTAGTGAGACAAGATCTTCCCTTACAGAACCCATGCTGAGTCTGCCTCAATAGGTTTTGTTCATCTATGTGCCTACTAATTCTTCCCTTAATAACAGTTTCCACCAACTTACCCGGTATCGATGTCAGAAAGACTGGGCTGTAATTTCCTGGATCTCCTCTGGAACCCTTTTTAAAGATGGGAGTGACATTAGCTACCTTCCAGTCCTCAGGAATGAGGCAGACTTTAATGAAAGATTACATATTTTTGTCAGGAGATCCACAAGTTCACATCTGAGTTCTTTCAGAACTGTCAGATGTATGCCATCTGGGTCTGGTGATTTATCCGTTTTTAAGTTGCCTATCAGTTGTAGGACCTCCTCTCTCATCACCTCAATCTGATTTAGGTTTTTCAACACCCCTCCCAAAATCAGCGGTTCTGGAGTGGGCAAGCACTTCTTATCTTCCACAGTGAAGATAGAGACAAAAAATGCATTCAGCTTCTCAGCCATTTCCCTATCATCCTTCAGTACACCTTTTACCCCATGGTCATCCATGGGCCCCACTGCCTCCCTGGCTGGTTTCCTGCTTCTATTGTATTTGAAGAAAGTTTTATTGTTGGTCTTTATGTTTTTTGCTATATGCTCCTCATATTCCCCTTTTGCCTGCCTGATCACAGACTTGCATTTTATTTGCCACAGCCTGTGTTCCCTTTTATTAACCTCACTGAGACTAGCTTTCCACCGCTTAAAGGAATCCTTCTTACCTTTTACAGCTTCCATTACTTTGTTAACCATGCAGGCTTTTTTCTGTACCTATTTGTGCCTTTCCTAACCTGCGGTATATATTTTTCTGAGCTTCTAGGATTGTAGTTGGTTATTTTTAACCAAAACTGTTTTATTTTTTCAATATAACTTACAAACATAAAATAGAGCAATAACATCATAAGTATAAGAACTACAGTTATACATTTACAATGAACAAACCCTCACAACTATAAACAGGTGATTATTATAGCCAATCTATAACAGTTACATCAGTTTTCAAAATCTAAATGTGATATTAGTAAACGGCAAAATGTAAATATTTGTCTGGTAACTTAAATAGCATACCAGAACTTGAGGACGTATAATCGAAAAAGGGAAACTACCGTTCCAAAAAATTATTAGATAAAGTTGAAGTTTGAGCAACCAATAACTGTGTGGCTATTTTATCTGCCACTGCCATATCCCAGCATTCCAATATCCATTATTCTGGGATCTTGGAGATAAAAAATGGTGTCATCAGCAAAGAGGCTCAGTTTACAAAGCTCTGAATTGATTTCTAATTCCTTTACCAAGGGGTCAGTCCTTACTGCATGAGCCAAAGGCCCTAAAGATATGGCAAAAAGAAGCGGAGACAGGGGACAACCCTGTCTCGTGCCTCTTTTGAGATGTAGGTCTTCAGAACAATATTGATTTATGCTGAGTTGTGCCTTTGGGTCTAAATAAATTGCTTTAATGGCTTGAAGAAAATTAGGACCAACATCATGTGTTCTAATAATTTTAATAAGAATCTTGACTCCACCCTATCAGAGGCCTTTTCGGCATCAACGGAGGGAATGGCTGATTTCAACTGTCTGGATTTACTGTACGCTATAACATTTAAAGTTTTCCTTATGTTATCCAGGATGTTCTGGCCAGGCATAAAACGAGCTTGGTCCTTGTGTATGTATTGTGTAATAATCTTATTAAGTCTTGATGCTAATATAGAAGAAAAAAAATTAAAATCAGAATTTAAAATTGAAATAGGACGGTAAGAGGCAGGGGCCAATTGATCTTTACCAGC